AGAGCATGGCAGAGATATAATTAACTTCTCTTGGGAGCTGGCTGGAGGCAAAGGGGTTTGCTTTTGACTTCCCAGCAAGATCTTCCCTCTCTCCCTTGTAATGACTTGGCAGCTGTGTCGCAATTGATCTGAGTCAGGAAGTTATTTGACTGATGCTGCAGTCAAATAACCAAACAGAATGTCAAGAATCATTAAAAAGGAGATAGAAAGTAAGACAGTGATTATCTTATTGCCTCTGTATAAATCCATGGTTCTCCCACAGCTTGAATACCATGTGCAGATGTACCTCATCTCAAAAAGATCTTAGCATTGAAAACTCAGAAAAGGGCAACAAAAATGATGAGAGGTTTGGAACGGCTGCCATCTGAAGAGAGATTAAAAAGAATGGGACTTTCTCCATACCACTCGTGATTTCATTTTATGAGAGGTCTGTGAAAGCGAATAAAGAAAATTTATTTACTTGTTCCCATAAGAACTAGGAGTCACCAAATTAAATGAATAGGCAACAGGTTTAAAACAAACCAAAGGAAGTTTTTCTTCATGCAGTGCATAGTCAGCCTGTGGAACTTCTTGCCGGAAGATGTTGAAGACCAGGACTTTAACAGGGTTAAAAAAGGGCCTAACCTTCATGAATCTATCTAGCTCTATCAATGGCTATTAGCCAGGATGGGTAGGGATGGTGTCTCTAGCCTTTGTCAGTGGCTGGGAATGGGCAACAGGGGAGAGATCACTTGATGAATCCTCTGGGGTACCTGGCACTGGCTGCTGAGTTATGCATATTCATAAGTACATTGTCATAAAGTATGGAGGGACGGCCCCATGACACCTTCCCACTGAGATCACTGCTAGAGGATTGGATGGTGTCCAGTGCAGAGGCAGTGTGTTCAAGAAGTCTGGTTTTGGTTAAACAATCACCCAGTATCCTCAAATCTTGTGATGTCATTCATTGGAATTTTTTCCAAAGCTCTGGGTTCCTGTCCCCCAGGTGCCTGAACTTTTTAAAAGTGTAGCAATTAGAAACGTTACAAATTGTGTAATGGGGTATCTGTGTAACGGCTAAAAATTACAGCTGTCTCTCCAGCCTCCCCCGTGGGAACAGCCTGCCTGCTGCTGTGTTCCTAGCAGGGTAGAACAGGAGCACTCCAATAATTTACCCTTTGTTTGTTCCCTGGAGGGTGCATTTCACTCAGCTGTCAGGCACTTCCCCTACCTTTGAAAGGGGAGGGGCACATGCCTGCCAGGCAGCAGAGACCACAACACACTGAGCACAGCCATCAGGGCAGACACGGTGGGATACTGGTGGAAGCCAGTTCTCTTGACAAAACAGAGTCCACAGTGGCTCTTTGTCAACAATAAAAGGAGGAGAAAAGACACAAGTCTCTTGTGAGGACGTGGGTGAAGAATCCAGTGCAGTTTCCTATTTAGTATTTTCTGCATCTCACTCAGCCCTTGGTGTCCTCACTGTTTCCCGCATTAGCCTCTTGTTTTCTTTGTTCTAAATGTTTCTGGTCTATTACTACTTCTGGAGTCTTTCTTCCATTTTCTGCCTTATTGGTCCATGAGTGTTAACCCTTATAATGCTGGATGCTAGGGCGCTCCCATGTGCAGTGGCTCTGATGGAATGGAGCCTAGGAGGTGCACAGCAGAGCACTGAAGATGCACTTTTCTGCATCTGCCGTGTACATCGGGTGGCACTCACATGGCTAACTTCCTTCTGGCCCTCCGGCATCTGCGTTTGGACCACTCTCCCAGCCTGTGCTCTGTCTCCAGCACTACCCGCGAGGGGGCTCCACTCTGCTTTCTGTCGCTCTGAATTCCTGATTTACCTCTGGCTGATCTCCTCTGACTTTGCATTGCCGTCCCAATTCACAATCTCAGATTTTGCCCTGATATGACAGACTTAATGCTCCATTAAGTCTGGCATATCTCCTGTAATGGCAATGCTCAGTTGCACAACATTTTCCATTCACCTCCATACTAAATTATCCCATTGGTCTGCTTCCCTGACATTCTTTCCACGTACTCAGTAGGGGTCTGTCTACACTAGCCCCCTAGTTCGAACTAGGGTGGTAATGTAGGCAACCGGAGTTGCAAATGAAGCCCGGGATTTGAATTTCCCGGGCTTCATTTGCATAAAGCCGGGCGCCGCCATTTTTAAATGTCCGCTAGTGCGGCTACACGCGGCACGGACTAGGTAGTTCGGACTAGGCTTCCGTTACTCCTCGTGAAACTAGCGGACATTTAAAGCTGGTTTTGGTCCGTCTCTGGTGCTGCTCTTCAAAGACATCCAGAGGATTGACTTGGGCTACGTAAGGGAGCAGCTCATCCCGCATGTTTGTGACCTGATCACAGCTGCACTCCACAGCAGTAGTGGATCTTACCCCTAGAGTTAGACTTGTGCAAAGCTCTCAGGCGCACAGCCTGTCTCTGATCCTGGGACTCACTCCCAGGAGGGGCTAGGTTCCCTGGGAAGCTTCTGAGCAAAAGGTAGAGCCCCCACTGTGTCCGAGCTTTCTCCCTAATAACAAAACTACCCCCCAACCTAACATTAGCCCCAGGCTTTAATTATGGGGAGGCAGGGTGCAGGAAGGGAGAACAAGCTAGTCATTCCTGTATTGTGTATTTTGAGCTGTCACGCACTCCGATACCATGGTGATGAGTGGTCTCTAAAAGCAGAGATGAAAGAAATCCTAATTACAAACAAGGCAGAAAATGGAAATAACGTATGTGAGCAAATGCCGGTCTCCCCTTTGCTGCTGCTCTGTGTAGGTGGGGCACGTCCACTCTCCCTGTTTACCCTGGGCAGAGCAGGCAGGAGCATTGGCCTTTGTCTGAAGGTTGCGGCTCTGCCGATGAACAGGATTATTGTGTGCAGTGCCTGGGGGGGCTTTAATTCTGTGCACAAACGGGGCCTGCTTTCCATTTCCATTTTGATTAGTAATAATCATACATAGACATCTCTGTGTGCGAGGAAGGGTCGCTAAGAGTGACCTTTGTGAATTAAACGGCCCGCTGAAGTGGAGGAACAGGAGATTGGAGGCTGTGTCCAGCTGTGGCCATCAGATGACAGGAATCCAGGAGATATGGAATGGGGAACATGGTGGGAGGACTGCAGCTGAGCTCATAGTAAGGGTAGGCCGGGGTGGGGGCCAGGGAAGGGCCCCTATCCTCCAGCAGTGGCAGCTCTGGGGCAGTTCCTGGTTGGACACTGGCTGGGAGAGAGGCCCCTCTCCCAGGGCAGAGGGGCCTGCCCCATTCCTGCACGGAGCTGCCACGGTAACTCCACTGCAGCAGCTTCGTGCTGGGACTGGTTGGTGTGGTAAGAGGAGGGCCTGAGACACAAGGCCTGGTGGGAGGCCTGAGGCCAAAGTACAAGTGGTCAGGACTCGGCTAATGGAAAGCAAAGCTGAGCAGCGAGTGCGAGGCAGGCCCTGTTCCCGCATTCTGGCTGGAGGGGCGATGCTGCAGATACACACCTGCCTAAGGAGTACGGTGTGTCAGAGGGCACCTGATCCATCAGGCACGATGTGCAAATTGTTTCTGTGGTGTCCTTGTCTGGACGGGGGTGCAGTGGAAAGGCCTGCTGCTGACTGAGCTGGACGTTATCGGGGCACGTGGGGCGCTCTGGTAACTTCTGTGCTATGTTTGCGGCCTTGGTCCTTGGGGGATGCTGTGGTGGGTGGGGCGCTCGTGGAGTCTGCTGGGGTGTGTACAGAGGGAGCACGAGCACACAGCTGCACCGTTATCCACCTCTGTCAGGACACCGCATCTGTGACTTCTGACCCCAGCAGGGAGAGACGCTCCTGCTCCAGTCGCAGCGGCTCCGTGCTGGGGCTGGCAGGCAGAGGCGACGTTCTGTTTTTCTACCCTGAGCCGCTGCACGGGGCTTGTTAGGCAGCTGAGCAGCCACCTGGCTGCTCAACTCAGAGGGGACTTAGCTGCACGCCTCCTTGCCCCAGACTGCGCGCTTTGGACAAGAAGGAGGTAGGAAGTGGCCCAGGCAAGGCAGTCTGGAGGTGCCCTGGACGTCAGAGCTTTGAGAGCCCTCCCTGGGCTGGAGCCCAGTGGAACAGGGGACCTGGGTTCTCGTACCAACCCCCGTGGTTCAAGTGGCCTAGCCCTGTGATCACTAGCAAGATGTCACGGAGTGTCGGGGCTCCCTGGGCCCTGCACCCCCAGCCGCAGTGAGATGTGCCTCAGCCAGCAAGTAGAACAGAAGTTTATTGGGTTACAGGGACACAGGGCAGGACGATGGGAAGACAGGAGCCAGGAGCAGGCAGTGATGTTCCTCTCGGGGAGAAGGGGTCCCGGCCCTACTCCCCCCTTCCTGCCCAAAGCCCTTTTCCTCCTTCTAGCCCAGCCGAGATGAACCCATCCCCCAGGCCCTACCGCCCAGCCTGGTGTCAGCCCCGCCTGCCCTTTGTCCTCCTTCCAGACCCAGGTGTTACCTGCTGTCACCGGGTCCTCAGGCCTGAGAGACTGAACGTACTTCCCCAGTGAGTCACACCCAGCTCCCCCCCCCTCGTGCAGGTAGTGCTGCAGTGCCCGGAGGAAACTGAGGTGTGCACACACAATACAGCAAACCGTAAATGTAACAACAGAGTGAACACAGAACTACAACAGTGGGCCACACCCCTACTACTTCACACACGGCTCCCCACAAGGGCAAGCTAGGACACATACCAAAAGCCTGACTAGCCAGCATGAAAGCTGGTACCAGGGAGGGTCTCCCAGCAAAGGCCAAGGATATGGCTTCAGCACGACTGAGGGAGGTGGTGGCAGTTCTGGAATCGCTACAAGATGGAATTGTGCTTCAGTCCAGACGCGGGACCCGGTGACCTGGTTTCACTGTAGTAGAGATGGAAAAGCTGGGGCCCATGCTGGAGGTTCCTGTTAGATTGCCTAAGCCCGAGATGTCCCTAATTCAGAGTTCTCGTTTCAGTGCCGATGGATTATTTCCTATGCCGTTGGGATATGATGTAATCCATTTGTCCAGCTTTTCTTTTCTGTTTTGTCTCTGCATGACGGCTGATGTCCAGTGCGTGCTGCAGGGGCCCTTCAGGCCCACAATGCGCCTTTGTGCTGTGTAGCATGCGTGGAATTTGCATAGGCTGTGCTGGGGCAGGCGGGTGTCTTTGTTTTTGAAAACAAGGAGCAAGTTCTTTTCTCAGTGTCTTTGCTTCCCAATGCCTCTCCAAAAGCTGTCGACATTCATGTAAGATTGGATTTTCTTTCTATTTTTGCATTAGGGATTACTGAAGTAATGAAATCGTAGCCTGGGTAATATGCATAGTGGTCGTGTTGGTTGGCTTTGGTCTGGAGAGTTACTGAACCTCTGCATCTGTAGATCTAGAGCCGTAATTATCAATGGTGAGAGCCGGGAATTTGTGCTGCTTGAAGTAGCTGCTAAAATATTTGCATATCTACTCTGTGGGGAACACACTGCTGGGGAGTGAGCAACAGAGCCAGGATCGCTGCAGGCAGGTGGCCGGGGCTAATATGAAACCTTCTTTCAAGACGGGTTCTGTGACCATCCTGCAGGTGGTCTGCGGGCTCAGGACATGCCCCCTCCCTGCAGCAAGGAGCCTGTGTGGGTGCTCCAGCCCTGCAGCCCTGCATGAGGTTGGAGCACCAGTGCCGACTTCCTGCTGTGGGTGGAGGTGGGGGGTTCATGGGCCATATCCGGCTTGTGGGGAGAGGAGTTGCCAGCAATGCAGGAAACTGCTCGCCTGGAGGTTTTCCCCGCTGCTCCCATTGGCCAGAATCACAGCCAGTGGGAGCAGCGGGGGTGGTTCCTGGGAGCCGTGGGAGGCACGAAGCCAGGTAAGCACCCCCTTCGGAGACCCTGCATTGCCACCTTGCTCCTGCACCCTACCTCCCACCCAGACCCCTCAGCCTGCTGCTGCACCTCCACCCCTTCCTGCACTCATTTTGGCATCAAGGGTGTCTGGTGGGTGGTTTGCAGAAAGGTTTGCGTTGAGTGAGGTGGGCCGCAGGCCAAAACGTTTGAGACTTACTGACTTAAGAATGGCCATACTTGGTCAGATCAGTGGTCCAGCTAGTGGTCTGACAGTGGCTAACCCAGACCCCTCAGCCTGCTCCTGCACCCTACCTCCCACCCAGACCCCTCAGCCTGCTCCTGCACCCTACCTCCCACCCAGACCCCTCAGCCTGCTCCTGCACCCTACCTCCCACCCAGACCCCTCAGCCTGCTCCTGCACCCTACCTCCCACCCAGACCCCTCAGCCTGCTCCTGCACCCTACCTCCCACCCAGACCCCTCAGCCTGCTCCTGCACCCTACCTCCCACCCAGACCCCTCAGCCTGCTCCTGCACCCTACCTCCCACCCAGACCCCTCAGCCTGCTCCTGCACCCTACCTCCCACCCAGACCCCTCAGCCTGCTCCTGCACCCTACCTCCCACCCAGACCCCTCAGCCTGCTCCTGCACCCTACCTCCCACCCAGACCCCTCAGCCTGCTCCTGCACCCTACCTCCCACCCAGACCCCTCAGCCTGCTCCTGCACCCTACCTCCCACCCAGACCCCTCAGCCTGCTCCTGCACCCTACCTCCCACCCAGACCCCTCAGCCTGCTCCTGCACCCTACCTCCCACCCAGACCCCTCAGCCTGCTCCTGCACCCTACCTCCCACCCAGACCCCTCAGCCTGCTCCTGCACCCTACCTCCCACCCAGACCCCTCAGCCTGCTCCTGCACCCTACCTCCCACCCAGACCCCTCAGCCTGCTCCTGCACCCTACCTCCCACCCAGACCCCTCAGCCTGCTCCTGCACCCTACCTCCCACCCAGACCCCTCAGCCTGCTCCTGCACCCTACCTCCCACCCAGACCCCTCAGCCTGCTCCTGCACCCTACCTCCCACCCAGACCCCTCAGCCTGCTCCTGCACCCTACCTCCCACCCAGACCCCTCAGCCTGCTCCTGCACCCTACCTCCCACCCAGACCCCTCAGCCTGCTCCTGCACCCTACCTCCCACCCAGACCCCTCAGCCTGCTCCTGCACCCTACCTCCCACCCAGACCCCTCAGCCTGCTCCTGCACCCTACCTCCCACCCAGACCCCTCAGCCTGCTCCTGCACCCTACCTCCCACCCAGACCCCTCAGCCTGCTCCTGCACCCTACCTCCCACCCAGACCCCTCAGCCTGCTCCTGCACCCTACCTCCCACCCAGACCCCTCAGCCTGCTCCTGCACCCTACCTCCCACCCAGACCCCTCAGCCTGCTCCTGCACCCTACCTCCCACCCAGACCCCTCAGCCTGCTCCTGCACCCTACCTCCCACCCAGACCCCTCAGCCTGCTCCTGCACCCTACCTCCCACCCAGACCCCTCAGCCTGCTCCTGCACCCTACCTCCCACCCAGACCCCTCAGCCTGCTCCTGCACCCTACCTCCCACCCAGACCCCTCAGCCTGCTCCTGCACCCTACCTCCCACCCAGACCCCTCAGCCTGCTCCTGCACCCTACCTCCCACCCAGACCCCTCAGCCTGCTCCTGCACCCTACCTCCCACCCAGACCCCTCAGCCTGCTCCTGCACCCTACCTCCCACCCAGACCCCTCAGCCTGCTCCTGCACCCTACCTCCCACCCAGACCCCTCAGCCTGCTCCTGCACCCTACCTCCCACCCAGACCCCTCAGCCTGCTCCTGCACCCTACCTCCCACCCAGACCCCTCAGCCTGCTCCTGCACCCTACCTCCCACCCAGACCCCTCAGCCTGCTCCTGCACCCTACCTCCCACCCAGACCCCTCAGCCTGCTCCTGCACCCTACCTCCCACCCAGACCCCTCAGCCTGCTCCTGCACCCTACCTCCCACCCAGACCCCTCAGCCTGCTCCTGCACCCTACCTCCCACCCAGACCCCTCAGCCTGCTCCTGCACCCTACCTCCCACCCAGACCCCTCAGCCTGCTCCTGCACCCTACCTCCCACCCAGACCCCTCAGCCTGCTCCTGCACCCTACCTCCCACCCAGACCCCTCAGCCTGCTCCTGCACCCTACCTCCCACCCAGACCCCTCAGCCTGCTCCTGCACCCTACCTCCCACCCAGACCCCTCAGCCTGCTCCTGCACCCTACCTCCCACCCAGACCCCTCAGCCTGCTCCTGCACCCTACCTCCCACCCAGACCCCTCAGCCTGCTCCTGCACCCTACCTCCCACCCAGACCCCTCAGCCTGCTCCTGCACCCTACCTCCCACCCAGACCCCTCAGCCTGCTCCTGCACCCTACCTCCCACCCAGACCCCTCAGCCTGCTCCTGCACCCTACCTCCCACCCAGACCCCTCAGCCTGCTCCTGCACCCTACCTCCCACCCAGACCCCTCAGCCTGCTCCTGCACCCTACCTCCCACCCAGACCCCTCAGCCTGCTCCTGCACCCTACCTCCCACCCAGACCCCTCAGCCTGCTCCTGCACCCTACCTCCCACCCAGACCCCTCAGCCTGCTCCTGCACCCTACCTCCCACCCAGACCCCTCAGCCTGCTCCTGCACCCTACCTCCCACCCAGACCCCTCAGCCTGCTCCTGCACCCTACCTCCCACCCAGACCCCTCAGCCTGCTCCTGCACCCTACCTCCCACCCAGACCCCTCAGCCTGCTCCTGCACCCTACCTCCCACCCAGACCCCTCAGCCTGCTCCTGCACCCTACCTCCCACCCAGACCCCTCAGCCTGCTCCTGCACCCTACCTCCCACCCAGACCCCTCAGCCTGCTCCTGCACCCTACCTCCCACCCAGACCCCTCAGCCTGCTCCTGCACCCTACCTCCCACCCAGACCCCTCAGCCTGCTCCTGCACCCTACCTCCCACCCAGACCCCTCAGCCTGCTCCTGCACCCTACCTCCCACCCAGACCCCTCAGCCTGCTCCTGCACCCTACCTCCCACCCAGACCCCTCAGCCTGCTCCTGCACCCTACCTCCCACCCAGACCCCTCAGCCTGCTCCTGCACCCTACCTCCCACCCAGACCCCTCAGCCTGCTCCTGCACCCTACCTCCCACCCAGACCCCTCAGCCTGCTCCTGCACCCTACCTCCCACCCAGACCCCTCAGCCTGCTCCTGCACCCTACCTCCCACCCAGACCCCTCAGCCTGCTCCTGCACCCTACCTCCCACCCAGACCCCTCAGCCTGCTCCTGCACCCTACCTCCCACCCAGACCCCTCAGCCTGCTCCTGCACCCTACCTCCCACCCAGACCCCTCAGCCTGCTCCTGCACCCTACCTCCCACCCAGACCCCTCAGCCTGCTCCTGCACCCTACCTCCCACCCAGACCCCTCAGCCTGCTCCTGCACCCTACCTCCCACCCAGACCCCTCAGCCTGCTCCTGCACCCTACCTCCCACCCAGACCCCTCAGCCTGCTCCTGCACCCTACCTCCCACCCAGACCCCTCAGCCTGCTCCTGCACCCTACCTCCCACCCAGACCCCTCAGCCTGCTCCTGCACCCTACCTCCCACCCAGACCCCTCAGCCTGCTCCTGCACCCTACCTCCCACCCAGACCCCTCAGCCTGCTCCTGCACCCTACCTCCCACCCAGACCCCTCAGCCTGCTCCTGCACCCTACCTCCCACCCAGACCCCTCAGCCTGCTCCTGCACCCTACCTCCCACCCAGACCCCTCAGCCTGCTCCTGCACCCTACCTCCCACCCAGACCCCTCAGCCTGCTCCTGCACCCTACCTCCCACCCAGACCCCTCAGCCTGCTCCTGCACCCTACCTCCCACCCAGACCCCTCAGCCTGCTCCTGCACCCTACCTCCCACCCAGACCCCTCAGCCTGCTCCTGCACCCTACCTCCCACCCAGACCCCTCAGCCTGCTCCTGCACCCTACCTCCCACCCAGACCCCTCAGCCTGCTCCTGCACCCTACCTCCCACCCAGACCCCTCAGCCTGCTCCTGCACCCTACCTCCCACCCAGACCCCTCAGCCTGCTCCTGCACCCTACCTCCCACCCAGACCCCTCAGCCTGCTCCTGCACCCTACCTCCCACCCAGACCCCTCAGCCTGCTCCTGCACCCTACCTCCCACCCAGACCCCTCAGCCTGCTCCTGCACCCTACCTCCCACCCAGACCCCTCAGCCTGCTCCTGCACCCTACCTCCCACCCAGACCCCTCAGCCTGCTCCTGCACCCTACCTCCCACCCAGACCCCTCAGCCTGCTCCTGCACCCTACCTCCCACCCAGACCCCTCAGCCTGCTCCTGCACCCTA